TGAAGGTCTCTGTGTAGTCAATACCATAGGTTTGGGAGTACCCTTTAGCAACCAACCGCGCTTTCAGGCGTTCAACACTACCATCAGGCAGATACTTAACCGTATAAACCCAYTTACAACCAACAACTTGCTTCCTAGGAGGAAGAGCAGTGAGGTCCCAAGTATGATTATGATGAAGGGTTGAGAGTTCTTCTTCCATGGCTCGGCACCACCCTGGAGAAGCAAGGGCTTCCTGGACATCTTTAGGGACAACAACTGATGATAACAGAGTGACAAACTGGCGATGGGAAGCGGAAAGGTGAGTAAGAGAAACATAATTAGAAATGGGATGAAGGGTGCAAGTACGTTTACCTTTCTGCAAAGCAATGTGTAGATCAAGCTCAGATGCTAAGTGCGGGTCTGGTGCCGGATCCATCGACGGAGATGTAGCCGGAGGAGTAGTAGTTGGTGCGCGTGGGCGATGTGTATACACATGACGGATAGGTGGGAGTTCAACAGGTGGTGGCACCGGAGGCAAGGGTTTGGTCACGGCTGGAACAAAGGAAGGAGGGTTGACAACGGGAAGTGAAAGAGGGGGAGGTGATGAGGAGGAAGAAGAATCACCAGACCCCAAAAAGAACGGAGTAGACTCAAAGAAGGTGACTTCAACACACACAAAGGATTGTTGAGAACCAGGATGGTAACACCTATACCCTTTCTGGGTTCAAGAGTAGCCAAGGAAGATGCATTTGAGAGAACGAGCATCGAACTTGTCATTCCCAGGACCCAGATTATGGACGAAGCAGACACACCCAAAAACTCTCGACGTAAGAGGAAATAGAGACAAAGTGGGAAACAAGACCTGAAACGGAGAATGATCATCAAGGATGAACGTGGGCATCCGATTAATCAGAAAGCAAGAAGTTGGGCCGATGTTCGACTTCTTTCTAGAAGATGATCATACCCCTTTATGAGAACCTTAGTGCTCCTAGACCGGGGACCATTCCCCGACCTAGGCGCCAGCCCGCTCCTCACCTACAGACTTGGAACTAGACATAACTGAAAAAGAAGGGAGGGGAACTCACCCGAAAAAACTAAAAGGACCAGACTGACTTGCCTCTAACCAAACTCTTCAACTGTGTATCGAGCTCTCCGATATCTCTACAACGTTCCTTCACAATGGACAAGTGCAAATGGACCCCCCCTTGGCCTCACTATTTATAGATGGAGATGGAGGATAACCAATACATGACAAAATTTGCAC